TCAAGATATGAATGAAGCTAATAATCTAGAAAATGTTCCTCACTACACTCAGGAGGAGGAAGATGGTAAATAGTTTAAAATTTAACCCAAATTTTTCTATTTATATATTTTTGACAATATCAATAGGCAGTGTCTACATAAGCGGGGGGGGGGGGGGTAGGAACAGTTTGCATCCTAATATCTATAAAGGGGTAGGGGGTAGGCTATAATAATCTAGAAAATTTTCCATTACATTTTTAAATTATCTATGGATAACATTTTGGTATTTTTAGGGGGGTAGATATATATTTTTGAAGGGGGTTTGCATCCAGTGAATATACTGTCATGTAGACGCTGTCAATAGGAGTAGGAGATTATGGTGTTTCATTATTACATTTTGATTTTAATACAAATAAAGACGAAGAAGAGACTCAATCATCTTCATCTAGCAGCTCGGTCTCTCATTGTCAAGAGGCAACTAGTAATTGATTTATAAATATAAAAATATTATATTTTTTTGTTAATCTTTAAAGATATAATGTTTATGACCTTTTTCTAGTTTATAATACTGAATATCTATAATTTTACTGATCAACTTTACTGATAATCTTCATCAGGGTTGGGCACTACAGTATAGCAAATACTTGCTTAAATACAATATAAATTTTGTGTTTGTTCCTTTTCAGCATGCCCTTCCTTCGCCCATCCTGATGACCATTATTATTTATGACCCTTTCCTTCATTACAATTTTTTAATTATAATATTTTTAGTGTCAAAAAAGTCCTCTAATGGTTCAATTCAAATCCCAGGTGACCTTGGCCAGAATAAACCAAATCAAATCAAATTAAACAATTACGCGAAAAAAGATATCCATGGAAGGCAAAGATCATTTTAAAAATCATGGTATAGAGGCCGAGATTGGTTGGAGAGTGTAGAAGCTGACGCTGCCTTTTGTTTTCCATGTAGGAAATACTTGTGTAATCCAAGTGATGAATTTGGACAAACGGGATTCAGAATTTGGAAAAATGCGTTAGCTGCCAAGAAGGGACTGCTAAAACACGAGAGCTCAAAAGCTCATTTAAATTCAATTACAATATGGCATGATAAAAATCAAAATATAAACAAAGGTACAGAAATAACTAAAATGTTGGGAGGTGATCAAATTAATCGTAATCAATATTATATTAAATCAATATTTGATTTGATGCTATTTCTTAGCATACAAGAACTACCTTTCCATGGGACTGGTTCAACAAATATTACGGATGCTGCAAAAGATGAAAACATAATTTATTCTTCTGGGCTATTTATAGCAATGTTTTCCTACACCATCCAAAAAGACCCTGAATTAAATAAAATTATGAATACCCCAAAATGCCCAGTATACATCACCACAGATTCAAAACGAAGTAATATCCAATATGGCAGATATGGTGCTTGAACATATTTCAGACAAATATAATAAAAGCGAGGTGCCTTTTTTTTGTCTTAAGGCTGATGAGACAAAAGATGCTTCAGGTTGTGAAAACCTGAGCATAATAATTCGCTATATTTTTTCTGGAGAAATCCAAGAAAATTTAATAGGAATCATTAATTTAGAGTGTCTTTCTGCTGAAAGCATTACAGATTGCATTTTAAAGCAACTTAATGATCTAAATATTAATTCAGCTAATATAATAAGCCAGGCATATGATGGTGCAAACGTTATGTCTGGCCGAAATGGAGGAGTGCAAACACTTCTTCAAAAAAAAAATTAATATGCTACAACCACAAGTTGCATCTTGTGGTTCAAAATTGGTATAATAATATTGTTATTATTTCTAATTTTTTTAATTAATCAAATGCATTGTATAATTTTTTCAGGCGTTTTAACGTATCCTGTAAATATACAGGCCACACCCTTAAGAGACTTTTAGACCAGATGTGGACTGGTCATTTGGAAACATCTCATTATTTATGAGAATTTTAAGGCTATTGGTGAAGTATTATTTTACTTTTCTAATAGAACTCTGAATTCAGAGGTTTCAATTCATGATTCAGTCGAAGCCTCTGGTCTTTTATCTCAATGTATTAATATAAATTTCATTATATTAGCCATCATAATTTATGAGATATTAATTACAATAGATCCACTAAATAAGTATCTACAATCAGTAGGTACTAATCTAGTGGATGCTAAAAATTGTAAGGTACTAATCTAGTGGATGCTAAAAATTGTATTGATTCTACTATCAATATATTAAAAAATAAAAGATGTGATAATTCTTTTGCTTTGATTATGATTAAGGCTAAAAAACTTTTATCAAAATTTAATCTTACTCCCCAAAAATCATCACGGGTACGTAAAACGCCTAAAAATTTCCAAGATTTTTTAGTTGATAGCAAACTAGAATTCGATTGTGAAAAAGACTCCAATTGGAGTTCTTTAAGGATATATTATGAAATTATAGATAAATTTGTGGATCGTTTTTTAGACCGATTTACAGAAGATGATTTTAATCTTTTAATACATTGTCCCCCCCCCCCTTGACCCTGATTATTTTTTATCAGATAAAATGGCCCCATTCAAATCCCTGTTAAACTTAAATATGGAAACACTGCATCATGAAATGAAGATAGCAAAAGGATTGCTAGCTTCGGAAGCTAAAGAAAATCATAATTTTGAAAATATCTTACATATTATGTATAAAAAAAATATAATCATGCATTTAAAGAATTATATAAATGCTACTTAGCAGCGATAATCATTGGGATATCAACGGCTTCTTGTGAGGCCTCGTTCTCTACATTAAAGAGAGTTTTATCGAGCAGTAGAGAGTCTATGAAGGATAAACGTAAACAAAATTTAGTATTAATGGCGTATGAAAAAAGAATAACGCAGAATTTATCTTTTAGATTATAGTATTATTTTGTTTTGTATATTCATATTATAGTATTATTTTGTTATTAAATTTTTAATAAAAATAGAAAAAAATTTCTATGAATGCGTAATTATTTGTTTGATTTTAAAAAAAATAGTGCCCCCCCCCAAGTAAGCACTTGGTCCCCCTAAGTGAAAATTCCTGGCTACGGCCCTGAAGGGAAGTGGTGAAAAATCAATATAAATATTGGATTGGTATCGAATTGGGCTTGAACCAATATCGGATCGGTGAAAAATGAGGATAGGCACAGCCCTATTATTTAGATAACTTTTTTAAATATTTATAATGGTATAAATCAATTCTAGTGGATTATTTTAAGACATAAATAAATAATATTAGTAATATCAATCATGAAAAATAACTAATAATTTAATGTTAAAATATCCAAACAAATTATAATAATATAATCTAGTGATTAAATTTGTTGGTGGATATTCCGTATAATTTTTTGTAGACGCACTACATATAACTCTTCCATAAGGCATTGATTCTCAGAAAGGGCAGTGTTGTTAAACGCTACTTTTAAAAATAGAGCGCGCCGCTAAAACTATTTGACAAAAAAAAGTTGCGCGTTGAAGCTAACTAAGACAATTTTTCAATATAAATGATAATAAATTATGTGCTTGTAATTTTTTTTATTGAATTATATTAGGAATGTGAACCCTGAACCTTTGTATTTTTTCTGGACCCAAACGCGGGCCCATTTTAATTCATATTAGTATTTTAAAATAAAATCGTTACTAACGGGGTTACCTTTTTTGAAGAAAAGGAACGCCTGATATTATATTTTACCGAATTCTTGTTGTGATTCTCTATTTAATTTACCAATAAAATATGAATTGCAAACGTCTAATTATTATGTGTTTTAAAGGAAATATTAAATTCTATATATTATACTTTTTTTAACCTTAATATATAAAATGTATGACCCAAAATTGGAATTTTCTATTTTGATTACTTTATAATTACATTGGCAATTCAAATGATTTATTCTAACACATCTCATCCACGTTTTAGAATTTTCGTAAGAATTTTTTGATTTACAGAACTTTGTCCCTGTTTCACTTATCTTAATTACAAAGCATTGGGTTTTCACAAAAATTTAACTATACTAATTATTTTATTATAAGTTATTAACTAAATATTATATTATTTTAATATTAAGTTAGCAACTTACATCGTATTATTTTTAAAAAAAATTTATAATATTTTATTTATTTTTTGGGAGAAGTGGGGGGGGGGGGGGTGGTAAGCTGTCTCTATACCTTAATGTATTGCCTAAGGGTGCCACAAAAAGGTGGATAAATAAATTTGCGGAAAATCTATAATTTAAAAAAGATTAATCAACTCAATATGTGAAATGGACCTGAATAATGTTTTAAGTCTAAAAGTACCTCCTTTATTGTGTTTTTCACAAATTTAGTTCTTGTCTAAGGGGGTAGGGGCACGTATATTTCAGAGGCGGCACTGCAGGATGGGAGGTATAGGGTTATCATTTTTTATCCTAATAATAATATTCACTGAACTTTCCAAATTTTAAAAGAAGTGGGAGGGGGGTTCAGCTTATTCAACCTATTTACGCCAATGCTCTTGCATTTATAGGTCAAAAAATCTATTACATTTGAAATAATTATAATTAGACTATCAATAATAAATATTATAAAAAATATACTCGCATTTTTCAAAATTTAATATTAGGCCTCCAGATAATCAAAATAAAATAATGAGATAATAATTATATAATTCTTAAATTTCGAATCAATAATTTAATATTCGTTTTTGTACGAATTGAATACTTGTATTATTCGAATATTATTTTACAATATAAATTTTTCATATATTTTATTCATTTCATACTCGTACGTAGGATAAGATACAATCAAAATGCCATGTTTCCATAAAGTGTTCTTTTCTATCTTATAATCTTACCACTATTTTAACTAATTTTAGACAGAAAGTCACTGTAACAATTAAAAATATTAATACTACAGGTCGCATCAAATATTTAGTATTCTTCGAGAAACCTATTTAATATCTAACAACTATATGAGAGAAATAAAAGTAAAATGATCAATAAATAATTATTTTTAAATATAAAGTTTAATCCAGAGGCCTTCATGGAACTTCAGCACCTTATTAGACCCTCCGCTTGCCATGTGATGTCCGACCTAGCGTTCAATGATAACGTGCCATTGTCCCTCAACAGGAATAAAAAGGCTTTGAAAAATACTATAGCTTTTTTGGATGAGTGCATACAAATAAAGGAACGCGAATCTGGAGTTTTAAAATTTATTTATTTACAGTTGTATACTTTATCTTTATTGAAAGATTTAAATGTTTATTTTAAAAAAAAATATTTATTCTTATTCCTTACTTTAAATAAGACCCTTCCTTTGTATGGTTCCCTCTTAGGTGACCTAGACATAGAATCCAGAAAAATAGCAGCCCGCGAAATATCCCTAAAGTTTTCACATCTAGATGGATTCATAATAGAAAATATGACCCCTTTTGCTTACCAGAGTACGGTTAAATTGGATAGTCGAAACTTTAAAATTCAATCGCGAATCAAGGATAAAGAAGAAGAAAATAATATAAGTAATATTAGAAGTTTTTAAATTTTTCTACCTTATTTATTTTTTTTTGATGAATATTTAAATTTAAAAAATCGTTAAGGAATTAAAACAAATGGGGAAGAAAATTAAAAAAATGTTGTTAAATGGCTGACTCAATATTTTTATCTAGAAAAATTATTACGTAAGCTTTAAGAATTTGCTCATAGATGTCACTAATGTTTGGATATATATTAATGAAATCTCGAGGTTTTTACATTTTTCCGATGTTAGCTATTTTTAAAACAGCTCGATTCGAGCCGCTTAGCAACACTGCCCAACCCCCACACCCTTAAAATTTCCTTTGACAAATGTTGGGAATTTTTATAATTTATGCCAGACCTTTTTTTAAAATAATAATTACATCATATAATTTATCTTTATTCTTCAAAATAAACATGAGAATAGTTGAATACAAAAAAAATTTAAATGGAAATTTATAGAGCAAGAATGTAGTTTAAAATTTATCTATGTGGGTCCTAACATACACACTCATAAAGCCCGGTGATCATTTTAAATCGGGAAAATGAAAGTCCCTCTGTAATACAATTGACGGAATATTTAAGATCTCCTCATTTTGAGTTTAAAAATATAATTATTATCTTCCGTACCATCTGTCAATATTATTTTAGATATATTCTAAGAAATTTCCCCTATTTTTTACTATTTTTTTTGGCTTAGAGTCCAAAAGGCTTATATTATATAATTAAAACGGGACCCCAAAACGCTTTTATATTGAAGATGATATTAGCATATCTTCTTCGTTTAGATAGTGACCCTTTTCCAAGGTCACGGGTAGGCTAGCTTCCAATCTAATCCCTTTTTCCATTTTCTGAGTCTTGGGAATCGCCATTAATCAAACCTAGTATTTATTTTTATGTCCTTATCACCACTTTATTGCTCGAACATATTTCCTAAGTTTTCCTGTCACATGCTTACACTCTAATGCCTATAAGGGGTTGGCCTTTCAAAACAATTCAAATTAAAGGCATCCGTTCTTTCAAATAATCAAAATTTTACGATTGAATATTACAAAATAAATTTTTATTCATTGTCGAAAATGATGTTGGATCACTGTAATACATCCAAGTTCTTTTCTTCATATTAGCGTTTTACCTTTAGGAGATTTAATTGTGTAGGATTTTTTGACTTTGTTGTAAAAGTCAATGTTAGAGGTTGATGAAAGGAAGAGCATCCAATCGTAAAAACTTGATCCATTGCTTTCTATGCACATTCAACTATATATCACACCCTCATCTGCCTCCGACAAAAGAAAAGATGGGGATCCCTATTCAACCTACAATACGTGAAAGGGAGACATCGAAGTAGTAGATATTGACATGGCAACACTAGATTTGACCAGTGGTGATTCCAAGGGTTTGGGAAAGTGGAGAAAGAGGATTCGAAGGGAAACTAGTCTAGGAATTTGAAAAAGAGCCACTGAACGAAGATATAGCTTGCAACATTTATTAGTCTTTTTTACTCCAAAGTAAAGGAGATTTCTTATATATAATCTTATAAAAATCTCTCAAATAATATTTATGACTAATTCATTATAATATCAGCAAATTTTATTTTTGAATTATCCGAAGTGTGGTTAACGCATTGGAAACTTACTTTTCAGCAAGACAACGCTCTATGCCTTTCTTTAAAATTAACTAATAAATTATCCTATTGGATAATAATATCAAATGACCTGCGTGTACTCCTGAATTAAATCCAATCGTAATTATTAAGGGGATTTCGAAAAATAATTGGAAGAAAACGTCCTACAAAGTAAAGAAATTATGATAAATAAAATAAAAGAACCATGTTTAAATCTCCCCAAAGAAAAACCAAAGATCTTTTAATCTCTACCAACCATAATTCGTAAAATTATTCATGACAAAGGGGATGCCATTTGATTTAAACATAATATAGAAGATATCAAACTTTTATATTATGGCGAATTTTACAAATTTCCAAGATTTATTTTGAGAATCTTTGATTAAGAAAAAAAAATTTTTATGAATAGATTGGATAATATTCTCTATTCTAAAATTAAATTTGAGGTTCTAAAGATTTCAAATCATTATAATTCACCATTTTTATGCAAATAACATACCTTGGAGTCTCCAAGATTCCACCCAAGTATCGAAGGGTTAATTAAGTCCTGTATTCAAAAAAATAAGATATAGCTACACCTAACGATCATTACCCTTTTTTAAAAGCATAAGAATCATTACGTCATTCGAAATAGCTATAATATATTTGAAAGGTATTATATTATATATAAAGGAAGGGATGTAGATACAAAACGAGTGAGTCAAACTATCAAAAGTGTTAATTCCGAAAATGGCGATTATTTTACTTCCGACCAGAAACTCTTTAAAAAAATACAAAAACGAGATGGTAGAGGGGACTTGTTTTGCTTGGCAGAAGAATTCACTGATATTTCTAATACTGAAAACCTGAAGTTCTCCAAACAACAAGAAGAAAATGGAACGGGCTATATTTCTCAAGATACTAACCACAGTCATGGAGGTCAAGCTTTATTGAATGGTTCAAATGACGATAGGACGGATAGATTCGCCTCTTTTTTGAGAGCTTCTATTGTTTGATAAGATTTATTTATACATATCTATGATCGATATCAAAGACCTGCAGAGTTACTATTTGCACGGCCCGGCCTGAATTTTTTTTTAAAAATTTCTTCGGCCCGTTCCGGGTTTTATTTGAAATATTTGGTTTTAAAGTATACAACTCGGCCCGAGTATATTTTTAAAAAATACGGACTAACCCGTGTAGAACCTTCAGGTCTGATCGACATATCATTATATACACACATGACATACCGTTTAAGTTTTAGAAAAATATATAGCTTGATAAGAAAAAACATTTTTTATTGTTATATAATAATAACGATGGTAAGAAAAACGGTTTTAAGTTATAATTATTTTATTCTAAAACTAAAAAATGATACCAAAAATAAATATAAAATAAGATATATATATATATATGTATTATAAAATACAATTTAAACGAAATATATTTTAAGGCTATATTAACAATTTAAGTTAAATAAAAAAATCAATCAATCAACATTCCCCTTCTTCTGAAAAGTCTTCCCATAATCCATCTGTATCATAGAAAATATGTCGTTCAAATGGTTGTTCATTTTGAGTGTTCAAGTCGTTCATAAGTCATTGTAGTCTTTGGCTTGATTCTATCACGTTGGTTTGTTAATATCGTTTTGAGTACGCTGGCTCGTCGTCAAGCTCCGTCGTTATCATTGTCAATTTTACAAAATTGTTATTATCACCAGTTGTAAAATTATCATTATTAAATAGGATTTCGGAATATATGAATAATTAGAGAATCGATCAAATTTGGATGTTAGAATAATAAAAAGATGATAAATCAACAAGATTGTTAAGCATTTTTTTTTGCGTTTTAGTCTTTAATTTATTTTTACATGTTTTAGTATTTAATTTATTTTTACATGTTTTAATATACTAAATTATCTTTTATTATGTATTTTTTTTTATAAAAGATGATATGTACGTCTGTACATCCATCTCTTTCTTCAGAAATTTAAACTTTATGCCCTTATTTTTTAATTTAAAAAGTATTTTGAAATAATAATTATTCATAAGATAGTTTTTAGTAAAAAATAATTTTTTGAGCCTCAAATTTTTAGAAAAAGATCTCTTCATCACATCCTTGAGTATTATTCTAGGATTAAGACTTAGTTTTTATATGACTTCTCTTAGTGATACTTTTAATTGTCTTCAAATTTATAAGTCTCAATTTTTTTTATCGCATTTAGTAAGAGTTTTTATTTTTATTATTTTCTTTAATCTTTGTTTCATTGTTTTCTTTAATGTTTATTTCCTTTTTTTCTATAATCACGAATATTTCAAATTTTATTATATAATTTATCTCTATTAGTTTATAAGAATCTCTTTCATTTTGAATATTTGGTTCTAATTCAATATTTTTCCATTTTTTGTTACTAAGAGATTTACCATTACAATGATAATTTCTTTTATTATAATGTGTTTCTTTATCATATTTATTGTCTAATTTATTTTTCTTATCATGGGATTAACAGTTATGACATCTAAAGTTAAAATTTCTGTAGTCTCTACCATTACAATTATCATAATATCTAAAATTATTATTGTTGCAATTTTTATTATAATTAATATCATATCTTTTAACAAAGTTTCGTCCAAAGCTGTTTTTAAAATGCTCATTAGATTTATAATCATTATAATTTTGTTATAATTAATATTTCTATTATTATTATAATAACCTATGTCACTAGTATTATAAATTTTTTTAGACTGAATTTTGTCAATATGAAATCTATAAAGATCTGGGAATTTAATTAAATACGGCTTATTTTCGTAATATTTTTTAATTGTAGCTAAGAATTTATCTTTAGGCAATTTAGTTAATTCCCACTTTTGGTCATTATCCCAGAAATCAAAAATACGAAAAATATCAATGGGTAGGTCATCAAGAAATTTAACTGTTAATTCATTATTAAGTAAATATTTTCTAAGCTTATCTAAGTATTCATATATGTCCATTATGACTGATTTATATTTAAATTTTTTAAATTATTTTATTAAGTTATATTGAAATTTTATAATAACTTTCCTTTTTTTTTTTACTTGGATTTAGAATATTTTATAAATCGTCATTGGTTTTACTCTATAGAATTCATAACCTATTGTCTAACTAACATTTTGGTTCTTGTAAGTTCATATACCCAATTTTAGTAATCATTTCCATTTATAACAACTCATATCCATGATAGATTCTTCTAGTTTGATAATAAATTTAGTAATTCTCCTTTCCAATTGAATCATCCATGTCATAATTTTGTATGTGTGTCATTTATCGGCATATGCACAATATATATGAGATTTTTTTATATATCATTGTGAGTTATCATTCCGGGGCACCATGTTATATAACAATAACGACGGTAAGAAAAACGGTTTTAAGTTATAATTATTTTATTCTAAAACTAAAAAATGATACCAAAAATAAATATAAAATAAGGTATATATATATATGTATTATAAAAAAAACAATTTAAACGAAATATATATTTTAAGGCTATTATAACAATTTAAGTTAAATAAAAAAATCAATCAATCAACATTTATAAATATATTATTTTGTTACCAGGAAGGCTTACCTGAAAACAAGGTAAAGATTATACAAGGCCCGTTTGATCCGCTAATGGTAATTGAAGCTATCAAGTGCGGTGTTGATATGTTCGATAATTCGCATCCTTTATATTTTTTTAAATTTAAAAAGATATTGAGAAAGGGAAAAGGAAGAAATAAATTAGTAAAGAATGTTAGAAGATGGAGAATAGGGGGGGGGGGAAGTAAATGCTTGTTTAAGAAAAACTTTTTATGTTCTTAATTTGCTGAGTCGAGCGAAACTCAGAATAAAAATTATTTTTTACGATAAAATCCTCTAAATGAGTCGGTAAGTTCGACTTGACCCGCCTAATTTTACAACTCTATAAGTTAAATATTTTTCTAAGTATACTCCTTAACTCCTGACTCAAATGATTGCGAAATTTGCTAATTTAAAAAAAATATGATATTACATGTTGGCTTATGTTTTGACCGAGAATGGGGAAGCCTTAAATTTTAGTTTTTCGAAGTCGACGGACCTTCATGAGATCGTTTATATAAAATCAAATTTGGAAGAAAATTCCGATAACGTTCAAATAACGACGGATTTGAAAGACAATATGTAAGCCTTATCTACTTTTTCTTTATAAAACATTAATAAAATTAATACTTTTATAATTCAATAAGCCCTAAATAATATCGATAATGCGGTATTATCTTTTCTTTCCATTTCTAATAGTTAAATCATCTAAGTGGTATATCGCTAAGGAGAAGCAATGGTTCTCAGCTCATTTTTTAAAAATGAGATTTTACATTTAGCTCACTTATAATGATATCGGAAACATTTGTTTTTATTATAAATGTCTCTTATATATCTTAGATATGACTTTAAAAATTTTTTTTATTTAGTTACAAAGCTGATTTTTCACCTATAGTGAATGGCTGCGAATGTTACACGTGCAGAAATTACACCAGAGCCTACCTCAATCATTTGCTAAACTGTTCCGAGATGCTGGCTTCCATCTTACTCATGATGTAAATTTATTAGAGTTATTTATATCGTCCTTTAGTATGCCATTTCTATTTATTTTTTTTCCCAAACTAGGAGAAAGCTCCCAGATTATTATAGGTTATTGGTTTGTGTTTACTTTATTTACTTTAACCGAATTTATTTGCATTTTGTCAAAAAAAACTTAAATTTTTGTATAATATTTTTTCTCAATGCAGATTTTCAATTTAAAAGAAAAAAATCATATTGAGCAAAATATTAATTATTTTATAACCCTAATTAACAAAAACCAGGGTTTCGAACCGATCAGCCAAACCGGAATGAACCCTTAAAATTTTCTAAACCTTAACCATTATAAAGAAAATATAAAAAGATCGAACCGAACTGTTATAAATATTTTAATCCGGTTCAAAACAGTTTTAAAAAATAATTAATTTTAAATTATTCTCCTAAATTTGAAATTTTCATTTTCCTTAGGGGCAATTTTTAAATTCGTGATTTCTTTTCAAATTAAAATCTTTTTATATTATCTACATATCAATCAATACCAAGTTTATTGTTTTTACCTTAATACTCAATTTGATAGAGATTAGGCAAATTACCACCTATTTAGATAAGATACTTAAAATCACACAAAACTATTCTTGGCTAAATTAACAAGTTTATTCTTATATATATTAGTTATTAATTAGCCTATAATAATACTTGCTAATAATTTAGAAAAAAATCATATAATTCTACCATTAATATCTAACATCTATTAAAAATCAAGTACTGACCACTTTTAATAAAATACTGTTTTATAATAATTTCTTATTAATTAATGTATTTAAAAAAAATTTATCTTAGTTTATACAGAATATGACATAATGGGTAATTAAAGGTAAACTATAGTATTTATATTTATTTTAACATCAAAATGTAAAACTTGCTATTATTTTTAACTCAATATAAGTTTATTTAATATAAAACACATAAATAAAAGTATAGAAATAATTTAATACAATGTTTTAAATTGAAAATTTATAGTAAAAATTTTTATTATTTAAAAAAATAGATTTAGAAAAATATTTAATACAAATGCCATTCTTTAATCATATTTTATATTTTGCATATATGAATAATGTTAAATGCTAACTAATATATTATTTTAATGATAAATAATTTATAATGACTTAAATGAGTATTAGAATTCTGAATTTAAAAAAACTATATGATTATTAAATAAAAAATTATACTGATCATTAAAATATTGCTGACCATTTTATTTATCGTGATTTAAATTCTATGATCCAAGTTTTTTTAAAAAAGATAAAAAAGAAGTGAGTAACATATTATAATATAAAAATAAAAATGAATGTAAAATTGTTTCTATTAAACTTTTATATATTCTTTTTATATAATAAAAGATTCTGATCGTATCTATTAAATGGTTCGGGAAAAGTCAAATCCTGCGCGATCTTATTTTAAATTAGATATTATAAAAAATCAATCTATTTGTAAACTAGAAGATTGTGGTAACGTTTTAATTGGGGGCCATGCTGCAAATCTCCAACGACATATAGAAAGATTACACGATAGGAAATTCTTATTATTTTTAAAAAAAGAAAATTTGACTATTGAAAACTCAAATAACGAAAAATGCAAATCAATATAATATAATCCAAAATACTTTTAAGCCCAGAGCTACTACAATACAAATTAATATGAATAAAGAAACTTTAATCTGCTCCTGCACCGAGTTAATAATAGTTCATCGAAGACCAATAAAATCAATTGATGACAAAGCATTTCGAAATATTATAGACCCAATAACTATAGGATTGGGTGAAAATTTAACTATTAATTCGGAAAATATACGCAATAATATTTAAAAAAAGGCGTTTGATTTTTCGCAAAATATAAAAAAGGAAATATATCAAACACTTATTTCGTTAAAATTAAATATAGCAACTAGAAATGATAGGTCCATATTGGGGATCAACATTCAATTTATAATAACGGAAAAATAAAATTAAGAACTCTATGCATGAAAGAGATAAAAGAACGACACAACAGAATATCTTTAAAAAAATATTCTAGATGTTCTAAAAGTATATGATATAAAAAGTGAGCATAATTACACGATAACCACCGATAATGCATAAATATGATTAAATTAATTAAGCTATTAATAGATGAAGGAGATGATAGCCTTAACGATTATTTAAATAATGATGATATAGATGATAATGGTTATTTATATTATAACAATTAATGATTGCATTAAAAATTCAAATGAAATTGTCATTAAAAATAAAGCAAGAAACATATGCAAAAAAATAAGAAACCAGACAATGGCTATTCTGTCCAAATTAAATTTGAATAAACCACTAATGGATTGTTGCACAAGATGGAACTCAATCTTTTTAATGTTGAAGAGATTACTAGAGTTAAAAAAAATTACCAATAAATATCGCTCCAAAGCAATGATCGCAGAATATGTTTATCAGAGAATGAATGGAAAATAATTAGCGATATATTAAAAGCTTTATATCCAGCTTATACTTTGATAAAATATATACAAAGTGAACAATTTACAATGGGCGATCTCTATGCCCCCGTATCTTAAACGAGCAAAGTAGACACTCCATTTGCCAGACTTTTAGTTTCTACGATAAAATCACGAGAAATAAATTTGAATGACATTTTTCGCTCTGCTATATATCTCGGCCAAGATATAATGTATTTTTAACATTTGAAGAAAAAGAGATCGACATAAAACATCTTTCTAAAACCTAAAACTTGGAACTTAATACAAAATTTAAGACAAATTAATTTTTTTTATTTCATAAATAAATAAGATAAAAATAAACATGCACAAATACAATGAGGAATAAAATAACACTTGAATATAATAAAATTTATACTATTTCTGTTTAAAAAGAGAATATGAACGAATAACTAAAATAATTTCTAATATTTCAGGATTTAATTTAGTTCTCTGGGCAGAGAGTAAAAACTTAAGGCTAAAAAATGCTCTTTCTATGGATACCTGCGTAGCTGGAACAGCTAGCAGAGTAATAGCAGTTCTGGCTTACTACTCTTTACATTTTCTCAATAATTCAAAAGATTAGTGTCTTTTTCTAATCTCACTATATTATCAAATGACCGAATTATATATTCTATTTCTATACATTTAATATACTTTTCTATACCCTGAGAATTATTCTTATTAAAGCTTTTATGCGACTTTAATAAATCTTCAAAATCATCATCTAAATTATCTTTCGAATGTAAACACGTATGTATAGTATCTAGAATTTCAATATTCTGTTTATTTATATTTTGTATTAAGTTCCAAGTAGAAAGATGTTTTTTGACGATAACTTTTTCTTCAAATGTTAGAAATACATATCTTGGGTCGAGATATAGAGCTGAGCAAAAAAACGCCAGTATTCAAATTTATTTCTCGTGGTTTTATCGTAGAAACTAAAAGTATAGCAAATGGAGTGTATACTTTGCTCGTTTGCATGATACGCGGCATAAAAATTGCCTATTGTCAATTGTTCACTTTGTATATATTTTGTCAAAATATACGCTGGATATAAAGCTTTTAATATATATCTAATTATTTTCTATTTATTCTCTGATAATCATATTTCGCGATCATTGCTTTGGAGCGATATTTCTTGGTAAAAGTTTTTTTAACTCTAGTAATCTCTTCAACATTAAATAGATTGAGTTCCATCTTCTGCAACAATCTATTAGTGGTTTTTTCAAATTTAATTTGGACAGAATAGCCATGGTCTGGTTTCTTATTTTTTTGCACATGTTTCTTGCTTTATTTTTAATGACAATTTCATTTGAATTTTTAATGAAATCATTAATTGTTATCATTATCATCTATATCATCATCATTTAAATAATCGTTAAGGCTATCATCTCCTTCATCGTGATGTATTAATAGCTTAATTAATTAAATCATATTTATGCATTATCGGTGGTTATCGTGTAATTATACTCATATCATTTTTAAGAATTTCTAGTGTGTCGTTCTTTTATCTCTTTCATGTATAGAGTCCTTAATTTTATTACTCTTTTATTTATAAATTGAATGTTGATCCCCAATATAGACCTATCATATTAAATTGCTATATCTAATAGGAAATAATTTTTTGGTATAATTGTTTTTTTATATTTATTACGTATATTTTCTGAATTGATAGTTAAATTTCACCCAATCCTATAATTATTGGGTCTATAATATTTCGAAATACGTTGTCATCGATTGATTTATTGGTCTTCCGTGAACTGTTAACTTGGTGCAGGAGCGGATTATAGTTTCTTTATTGATATTAATTTGTATTGTAGTAGTTCTGGTAAAAGTATTTTGGATTGATTTATACTCATTTGCATTTTTCGTTATTTGAGTTTTTTAATAGTCAGATTTTCTTTTTTTTTAAATAATATGAATTTCTTATCGTGGAATCTTTCTATATATCGCTCGAGATTTTCAGCTTAGTCCTCAATTATAACGTTTCCACAATCTTATAGTTTACAAATAGATTGATTTTTTATAGTATCTAATTTAAAAAAGGATCGCACAGGATTTGACTTTTCCCGAACCATTTAATAGATACGATCAGAATCTTTTATTATATAAATAGAATATATAAAAGTTTAATAGAAACAATTTTACATTTATTTTTATATTATAATATGTTACTCACTTCTTTTTTATCTTTTAAAAAAAACTTGGATCATAGAATTTTAATCACAATAAATAAAATGGTCAGCAATATTTTAGTGATCAGTATAATTTTTTATTTAATAATCATATAGTTTTTTTTTAAATTCAGAATTCTAATACTCATTTAAGTCATTATAAATTATTTATCATTAAAATAATGTGTTAGTTAGCATTATTCATATATGCAAAATAGAAAATATGATTAAAGAATGGCATTGTTAATGAATATTCTTCTAAATCTGTTTTTTAAATAATATCTTACTATAAATCTTCAGTTTAAATAAGTTAACTAACATTACATTACTTCATTTTTATATTTATTATCTGTTTTAAATTAAATAGACTTACATTGAGTTAAAAATAATAGCAAGTTTTACATTTTGATGTTAAATTAAATATAAATATAGTTAAACTTAAATTACCCATTCTGTCATATTCTATATAAACTAAGATAAATTTTTTTGAATATATTAAATAATAAGAAATTATTATAAAACAGTATTTTATTAAAAGTAGTCAGTACTGATTTTTATTAGATGTTAGTTATTAATGGTAGAATTATATGATTTTTCCTAAGCTAAAATAACTAATAACTTGTTAATTTAGCCAATAATAGTTTTGTGTGATTTTAAGATTATATCTTATCTAAATAGCTGGTAATTTGCCTAATCTCTATCAAATTGAATATTTAAAGTAAAAACAATAAACTTGGTATTGATTGATATGTAGATAATATAAAAAAAATTTTATTTGAAAAGAAATCACGAATTTAAAAATTGCCCCTAAGGAAAATTAGTTATTCAAAATTAGATTAATAATTTGAAATTAATTATTTTTAAAAACCGTTTTAAACCGTTTAAAACATTTATAATAGTTCGGTTCGCTCTTTTTATTTTTTCTTTATAACGGTTGCGGTTCAGAAAATTTTAACGGTTCATTCCGGTTTGGCGGTTCGATTCGAAACCCTGGTTTCCATCTTTGCGCATTCCTCGCTTATTTTCTCCCCTCCAACCTTATCACTCAGCTAACATCGTTATTATTCATTTAGCGATTCTTCCAATGACCTTATTTTTTTACCATCAATCATGACATTTCCTTTAGCATTTTTCAAGCATTTAATATGAACTACATTTTGTATATCTTTAATCATTTGTTTTGTTATCCTAGTTTTTTTCCTTCCTAGTTCTACAGACCATTTGCAAATTCACGCCAGTTCTAGTATATTCACAACATCATTCCCTTAGCATTTTGTTTTGCTTTAGATACCTCTTTATCATTATTTCCCTCATATTCTTCATAAAATTTTTCTATCGCTTGTTTCATCAGAATTCCAACTAAATCTCCTTATTCTCTGGAGGTCGTTTCTCAACCAATTTTTCCCCCTTCAACCTCCATTAGTTGCCTCAAGACGTTTTCGTTTGCCAAGTTTGGAAGTGGGTTCTACGGATATTTTTTCAGGATCAAAAAATACCATTCACGTTTTTTAATTTCTCCAAAATTTTAGATCTTAGATTTTAATTATTATATAAGATAATAAACTTAATCAAATGTATTTAAGATAATTATTTTGAACGTTAAATAAAAATTATATAGACATAATCTAGACACCTTAATGGATTTTTTCGATTACTTGCGGCAGGCTATCAAAACTGGGACATTCCATTCTGTTGAAACATTATTTCGTTCGCGCTTAAAATATAACTTATAACAATACTCAATTCATTTAATAAATATGCTGCGTTAATCATTTATTTTTCTACATAATATATGTGTTATTAATTAATGTAATACTATGAAATAAAATTAATATACCTTTTTTTATTAGATATTGACGTTACTGAAATATATAAGTATTTTTTTCATTTACATTCTTCAAAAGATATTTTCTGATGTCTTTATCAATATTTTATAGTCTTCTGTAAAATATACAATTCACTATTGGTAAAAAATTTTCATCCTCATGCGATAATTGACTTCACAAAAGTTTTAATCAAATTTTTAAAGGAATTAGATATACTCTAAATCTACGACTTATAATATTCCAATTTTTTTATTGTGCCAAAATTTTTTTTATTTAATTTATAATTAAATTTTATCAATAGTTTTATAATTATTTTACTTTTATTAAGATAAATAAATTAAAGTTACTCACTTTATAAAAAAATTATATTTGATATATTATATTATTTAGATATGGATTTATTATTAGTAATTATAATACATTTTACTTTTGTCTTAAGATTTATTTTTGGCTTATATTTCCTTTCTTAAAAAATATTTTTGGTTTCACTTTTTTATATATATAAATGCTTTTTTCTAAAAAAAGTATAAATTATGATGAATAGTTTTAGTTTAAAAAAATATTGACTTTTACATTCTTTCTTTCAAATTATTGTTTAAGATATATGCATACATTTTTGGAGGACAGGGAGTGGGGAGAGGACTTAGAAGAATATTTATTAGCTTAAAGGGATATTCACAAAAGGTGATAAATTTCTGAAAGGGGGGGGGGATTTCCCCTCCCCCTTGGATATTTTTATTATCGAAGATATTCCATACTGTCAGCGTCTACATGAGCGGGAAGGGTAGGAACAGTTTGCATCCTATTTTTTTTGAGGGGGTAGGCTGCTTTAATGGGGGCAGGATAATTTTTTTGGGGGGTTATCTTTTAAATTTTGAGATGAAATAGGACAAAATTTATTGCTGTAAAAATTAATACTTTTATTATAGAAATATTATAATACAATTATCGACCAAATCTATATATTGCAAACAATTATACACATTGTTTTTTAAATAAAACTTTCTGCTATCATTTTTAATTTAAAAGGTTTAGATATATCAGCAAGCTCATAATGCCATAATAATTAATTCATTGTAAATAATGGAGGTTTTAATTGAAATTATTATCTAAAAAAATTTATTTATATTCACAAAATATCGATAGTTGGTAGTAGAAATAAATTAATTTAAGTTATCCTTATCTCTGAAGAGAGTGTTAATATAATTATAAAGGTGAAAATAATAATAAAGAGACACCGCCGCCGAAGCTGGCGTGAATTATTTAGGTGGGGGGGGGGGGGGGGGTAGGCAAAGGTTTTTGAAGGGGGTTTGCATCCAGTGAAAATCCTGTCATGTAGACGCTGCATACTGTATAAAAAATGAGAAGCACAATTTAAGCGTTAGTGATCATCAAATGCTTTAATCATGTTAACGTTCCTAAAAAAACACTTATAATTTTTTTTTAAATAATAATTTAATTTATTTGTTTAAAAAAATAAAATTTCTTATTTGTTAGATATCAATATTTTTATAAGCATGAACTATCTATCTTTGATATAAAATGTCATGTCTTTCTAATATTGTCTTCTGTGGTTAATGATGCTTACTACCAAGTGAATGTATGGAAATATTCTAAATACCAACCTAATTTGCTAAATACCGACCAAAATTTTAAAATGTAATAAGACCCTTATTATTTAATATATTAATACGGAATCACGTGGTCGAGTCCGGCCTTCTATATATCATCCCCCCAAGGATGGAACCACCAAGTTAGAATAAGAAAAAAACATGATTATTCCAGGGACTAGAACCTGTGAGCATGGGATAAGTAAGCCAAGCTCTTGCCTACTAGGCCATAGAGGCTTTCCAAAAATCACGATTTTTCAAATATAAATTATAAATATATTTAGTAGTGCCTATCCAAATGAAAAATGAACAAAATTCAAATTTGATAGGTAGTACCTTAAGGTAGTAAGCATCATTAACCGTCTTCTGTTGGGTTAGATTACCAGAACCAAAATTTCGTTAATTTAATCAGCTGTTTCTAATATATGCTTTGAAACTAAATGCTTAATGCCCCTTAGAAATACTTAACTTAAATTAATATTTTTAGACCATTGTATTTGGAAGATTTTCTTTTAAAATGACTTTCTATTTTTATTCTACTTCTCATTATAACTTATTTATATTTCTATTTCCTGCTAATTTTAAATATGCTACTCTATTGGTAGAGGGTTTAGGCACTCATAAATTTTTTTTTGGGTAATAGGTTTGTCGGTATCCTGAGAAAAAATCGGCTTAATTATATGAAGGATAGGCCTTCACATATAATTCACGTTCGCTCATTTTGGGCAGGTCTGTGACCAACGTGCAAGATAAGATAAGATAAATGCTTGTATCTCAAATAGAAATAGAATTTTGGTTTAATATTCTCATTTTTCATAAATAAATCATTATATAAACAAAGTTCAAGATGTGGATATACATTACAATTTGAAGAATTAAAAAAATATATTAATGAACACTTTCCTGATTTAATAGTAATAGGTAAAGAAGGAATGCCAGGTTTAATCATCTCCCCATATGCCTTGAATTATTTCTAAATTTTAGGATCTTTTGAAGTTAAAATTAATGGAAAATTAATATTTTCAAAATTTATGACAGGAGGATTTCCTAATCATGAAGATGTATTTACCAAACTTAACTTTATTTTTAAATTATTTTGAATTAGATAATTAATGAAATAGAAACACTTATTTCTGGTGGAAATCCAAAACTAATTAATAATACTGCAGCAAAAGTATCAATATGTTCACTTTCATAATTGCTAATTTATTTTAATTAAAAAACATTAAATTTTTACTATATTGATATTAACTTTTTAATATATTTAATAATATTTGTTTTATTAAATATTTATTTTTTATAAAGTGAAATTTATTGATTTTATGTTGAATATTTGTTTTTATTTAACTTTTATAAATTTGAGCCATGATTTAACTTGAATTCATATCAGGCTAACATCAATCAAAATTTATTAAAAAAAAATTTAATATACATGTCAGAAATAATAATTATATACTATTTTAAATCTAGAAAATGATGTGTTATGTTTAATATTTGATCCTTCTAAATATTTATTTTAAAGTTTATAAATAAAATAAACATTTATTAAATAAAAATAAATAGTTTTTTTTGAAAAAAAAATCTATTATATTTTTCTCATATATTTATCAACAAACCTTACAAGTTTTATTTATTGTATTAAAAATAAAATATAATCTTTCTAGGTTTTTCTAATGTCTATCATCATAGATCTTGAAGATAAGATTCATACAGATATTGATGTATATGTTAAATAAGTAGATACTGCTGTTTGGAAATTCTAAATAAATAAATTTATATTTTATCTTAGTAGCATGAATTAATCGAATTGAATAATATAAGGTCTGGTATAGGATTTGGCTTAGAAACGTTAAATAAGAGCAAACGCAAATGAAACAAAAGTCAGAGTAAATGTAATAAAATTATAAAAAATCTATATCATGAAAGAATTTGAGATTTAACAATTAGTTTAGGTAGTTTGATTTGATTTTGAGAAGTTTTTTATACACCCTTTATTAATTTTAGGAACTGTTTCATATTCAAATTAAGGTCTGTCTTTCAAAGCTTAAGGAACCATAGAATTTATATTTACGGTACCAACCATTAATAGAATATAAGCGGCTAATGGCATCTATAACCAGATTGTTAAAATAGCGTGCTACTTAGAGCGCTATCTTTTTTGGTAATAGCGTGCTACTTAGAGCGCTATCTTTTTTGGTAATAGCGCGCTATTTTTTGTAATTATTTAATTTTTTAGCGAGCTCCTTTTTTTGAAAGTTGCTATGTAGCACAATTTTTATTATTTAATTTTGAATTGATAAATATTTTCAATTTGTATTATAATAAGTCTAAATCATGTGTTAATAATTTAAAATGTCATCGCCTATGGATAACCAAATCGTTGAAAGTGATACAGACAATAATATTAATGAAATGGAAGATAATGTTCTTAATAGCTATAATACACATTTCCTATTACCTAGATTCGAAAAATTGACTTCAAATTTATTTGTTTAAAAGGTAAAAAAAATATTTCCGCAAATTAATCCAGTAGATATAACCACAAGGAACACCTAAAAGCAAATTGTCATTTTTACATTCTAATAGTATTTATTTTATATAAGAAGTTCATGCCAAATGTTTCATGGAAATGGAAAAACATCTAAATAATTTTGGTATAGGCGACTCTACGTCCAAAAAGACTAATTCAATCCAAACTAAATTAATTATTAATACAAAAGCTAATATCAATTCCTATGATGATAAATATCAACGTGATACATGATAAAGTTGAATAATCTCATCCCAAACAAAGATGGCCCAGTTACAACCACGAAGACTTCCGCTAATAATTTTTTGTAATAAAAGATAGTATTAGAAAATCCACTCAACGCCTTTTTTTTCTAAAAATACTCAAATGGGTATTTTTGATAATCTATCTTATATTAAAAATATGTATATAAGATTAAATACTCCCTTGCCCTTAAGTGCTAGTGTTAGGAGATAATTTAGTAAGGCAAAACTTATACTTTCTGATCGTCGCTCTAGACTTGGGAATGATAATATTGAAATGATTTTATTATTAAAATGCAATAAATTACCAAAATATTTATTTTTATTACATAAATTTTTTTATAATCAAAACTAACCCTATTTTGTTATTTATAAAAGTTGATTTTTATATATTATTTATTAAACAATTACATTATAAGAAAAAAATAAAACAAAAAGTAGCTTTTACTTTAAAAAATAATAGCTAATAGCACGCTACTTTTAAAAGTAGCTAACAACTCTGTCAATAACCAGGTTATTATTGTAATTGCTTAAAATGTGGACAAAGAACATACGATGTTTTTCTAATATTACATGTATTTGAGTGTTTTTTGTCTTCCAAAGATTTTTGTTTGAAATAATATTTGGGTAAAGATGCCATTTATTGTTCCTATACATTTTTTAATGAACGTGTGCATATTTTTTCCTTCTATCTTGATTATTTCCCAGATATTACCTCCATTGAGAACAATTGGAATAATGGTTGAGTTAAAGATCTTATGTTTATTGTAATGATATCTCTCTCTCTTACTTTCCAAATTTTGAAAAACTTATAAAATTATGGGTTTTTGTATACGGAATCTGAGCTCTCTTAAAATCCCCTTTGTTGACAAGAGTTTCACATAGATAATTAGAGGATGTAATTTATTAACTTTAAATAAATTGAATTTTGTTTATAATAGAATTTATGGTGATTGATTATCGTAAATGTACTTTCGATCAATGTATAAACCTTATTGAGAAAGTTATATTATCTATTTGATCTTTGGTGACGACGACTGTTTAAAGAGACCTATTAAATTATAAAGTTAAAGAGACGAAGAATATTATTCTATGGCCAACGAAGACACAAACATAGTTCTAAATAAAGGTGAAGATGCATCAACATCTTGTCAATTATTCCAGAATTCTTCAAAGTAAGTAAATATTCAGGACTGTGTAGATAATGAACTTATATTTAAAGTAAAAAATACTGTCGATCATAGAAAAAGATTTGTTACTAGCATACATCATAGGTACGGATAACTTAATAAAAATAAAAAATTTCCATTGTCCAATTAATTTAGAGAGCATTAATTATATAACTTTACTTGATAATTTAGCCAAAATATTTTAGAATATATCTTCCTACATCGAAATAATTTTTATACCTTAAAAAGAGGCGAAGAAACTATTATGGATTTTTAGATAAAATTTAAAAGTATTTGATTACTATGTAATCTTAAATCGCCTGTTGATAAACTTTAAAGAATATATTTTTATCTTAGGAGTAGGGCTTCTTGAGTTGGATAAAGACCTTCGGCCAAAGTATACTGAAGATATTGTTGATACCATGCGTTTAGCGATCAGGCCGTCTTTCTTGAAAAGGAAATTGTAGAAATTAACAAAATAAACATAAGGTCGCAAGGTTCTAATAATACGATTTTAGGAATAATATTTATATAACGTGAATAAATTCAATAATAATGATTGTTGAGATCACATGTGCTGGCTCCATCTTATTACCCGGGCTCAAATGGGCAGGCTGAGTGGATGGTGATAGTGGTAAAGAATTGGTTGCGGAAGGCAAAATATGGAGGAGGGAGATATCGGTGTCGATGGCTTACTATAATAGGCGGAAAAGAGCGCAGCTGTCTCCTTCAGAAATGTTTTTGGGTTGAAGAACTTGAAATAGGTTATATGCGTTGAGACCAGAAAATGAGAGGGAAGGAGTGGTGGTTAAGCAAAAAATGATAGAAAGTTTGAAGTAGGTCAGACAGTGTGGGCCGTCTACATGCGCGGGATGGGTAGGAACAGTTTGCTTCTAAAATTTTTGAAGGATGGTAGGGGGTCCGCAATTAAGGACATAGGTTTAATTTATTGGGGGAGCGGGGGTTTCTATTAAATTTGTAAATGAAATAAGGCAAAATATACTGCCGTTATAATCTAATATTTTTATTATATATTGCTAAACAATGACCAAATTTATCTATTGTATACAATCAAAGTCATTATTTTTTAAATAAAACTTATTTATGGATAATTTTCTGCCATATTTTCACGTGTAATTTTAAAAGATTAGACATTTTATTAGCAAGCCATCGTGTCAATTAATGTATTGTACATTGTAAAAAGGTTTTTTTTAATTATTCATGTTTCTAAATAATAACTCTTTACATTTACTTTCTTTATAGTTGATATTTAATTATTGATAATTTTGTATATGAAGTGAGTGCCTAATTAAAAACGCGTAATATAAAATGTAAGGTGGTAGGTATAGGTTTAAGTTTGCATTCTGAATATTCCGCCATTAAAACTCTGCTTAGTCCATTGATTATTTACATTTCTTTGTAATTTTCTTTAAAATTACAGTTAAGTCTAACGCTTTTAGTGAATTAAAATTTCTAAGTTAGTTTCTCTATCTCTTTGAATGCGCTTTACAAATTGTAAGCTTTTAAATAATCAGTGGCGTCGCTAGGGGGAAATTAATATAATTAGTTATCAATTGAAAATTAACAAATTTAATTGTATTTAGCCGTGTTTAAAATCGCTAATCAACTATATTATTGATTTTTAAATTTCTAATGCAAATCCAAATAAGTATAAGAGAGTTATCTATAAAAAGTAAGTAGACATATAGTTTATAATCCTCTATTATATATAACTATTTATAAAGGTAAAATGCCACTTTTGCAGACTTATTTGATAGTTATATATTATATTACAGTTTATATATTTTAAATTTTAGTAATCAATGCTTTTGATAATAAATATAAGTAACAATTTGCAGTAAACTATTTAACGCCATTATTTAAAATAATTAAACATCTTATTATTCATCCCACAATGGATGTAATAAATTAGATATCTTTTCTTCTCTTTTATTTACGTGTTTTAGGAAAACTATTTTTTTCTTTGAAAAATAGTTTTGAGTTAAATTTTTAATACGAATATATTTTAGATATTATTACAAACTACTATTATTTTAAGATATAATATACCAACTAGAGATGGTGCGACAATAATATATAAAATTTTAATTGCTTTCATGATATCACTCTGGTTCTTATTTTATAGTTACAAAATGTTTCATTTCTAATATGTCATCCTTGCCGTGTAAATAACTCAAGGCTTCAATATATTTGCATAATTTCTTCTAAAGATTTTTAATTTTTCTTTCATCAATTCTAACATAATAAATTCTGATATAGGTTACCATCGTGAGTGTCATGGCTATGACTGTAATCTATTATTTATGTGGCTATGTAAAAGATTATTACTACAGCTCTGAAGTATCTGATTGTATATTTTAGATATGCAATAATAGTCAACTGTGTAGTCGTTTTTCGTTTATATATTAAAAATGGAAGATAATCTTTTGGAAATTTAATATCTCACAATAATTTTCTCGATTACTTATCTAGCTTCCATCATGTCTTATAAGAGGAAGCTCTAACTACCATATAGTTTTGTGATTTGGAT